TTTCATTTTCATGGGGATTACAATCTTATGACGCCTTTTGTTGAATGACTGAAAACATCATTTTTACACAGTTTGTCTTATGTGCATAAAGGCATTTCCAGTAGTATTTACTCACTGTGGCCAGAAGTGGAAGTCCTGTGTATTGTTTTTTTAATTTTTTTAATATTTATTTTTTTTGTAGTTGTACACAGTAACTTTTATTTATTTTTATGTGGTGCTGAGGATCGAACCCAGGGCCTTGCACATGCGAGGTGAACACTCTGCCGCTGAGCCATAACTCCAGCCCCTGTATACTGTTTTTTGTTTTTTTTTTAAACTTAGGTACACAATTAATAAATTCCTTTTTAAAACATTTTTTAAAAGGAATTTATTAATTCCTTTTTAAAACTCACTTCTTGTCACTAAGAGTAACCACTTTAAGAAGTTTGGTGTGTATCCTAATCTCCTTTGTGTAACTTCCTGTATACATACACGTGTGTAGATAAAAACACATGTAAACACACTTGACTTACTCTTGTGTGTGTAAATATATTTACTTTTATATATAACCACAAATCCAATCATTAAAAGTATTGTTCTGCAACATACCTTTTTACTTGGGAATATATCTTAAAGATTTTGCTATTAAAATACAATCTCTGCAAGCTGTATTTGGGGTAAAATTGGGAGTTCATAACCAACTTGAATCTAATGTATGAAATATGATATGTCAAGAGCTTTATAATGTTTTGAACAACCAATAAAAAAAAATTAAAAAAAAATACAGTCTTTTAAAAAATATCAACCATGTATTCTCCAGAATGGTTTTATGGTAATTTCTTAAATGATTCTACTTTTCCTGGTCATTAAGATTTTTCTTTTGACATTTTATTCTTATAAACTGTATTTTAAAAAATAATATTGTACAGCAACTCTTCAGATGGTAAATTTTCCTGTAGAAGAAATTCACTAATATATCAAATATCATGCCATTTCATAAATTTTCTTTCAAAATTGACCATATTTATAATTATTCTGTACTGTACATAAGCCTGTTTTCATAAGAAATTGTCCATTGTTGATATAATCCCTTTGGTAATTTTTATGATTATAGAGTAAAAGGTAACTTTCCTTTTTAAATTATAGTTTTATTAGTTCTTTATAATTATACATAATAGTGGAGTTTATTGTGACATACTCATACATGCACATATTTCTTTTAATTTGAAGATCTGTGCCTCTCTAAAATCCACATTTATTGTTCATCTGTAATTTAAATTTTGTGACCTGTTTAATAATATACTCCATTTTCTACTGTTTTAGTTCTTTTCTTATTGATTTATAAGAGTATTTATATACAGGATATGATATTAAATATAGTGTATTTATTCAGGTGTACTTCAAGATTTTAAACTCTGTTTATGTTGCTATTTACCCCACAAATGTTTTTCTTTTTTTGTTATTTCAAATATGTCTGGCCCTCAACTATTTTTTGGAAGATTTCTCTCAAGATGATAAATATTTTCACAGTTTTTTAAAATGCTATCCATTTTTATATTTGTTCTTTCAAATAGAATATTTACATGTACGTGTATATACACACTTTTAAAATATTTTTAGTTCGTAAAACACAGATTTGTCTAGAGCAGTTTCAGTATTAAAGCAAAATTGAGAGAATACAGAGATTTTCCATATACCCCTTACTCCCACACGCGCAAAGCCTCTCCTACATCAATATCTCCCACCAGTGTGGTACATTTGTTAAAATTGGTGAACCTACTTTGCCATATCATTATCACCCACAATCCATAATTTACATTAGAGTTCAATCTTGGTATTGCATATTCTATGGTTTTGAACAAATGAATAATGAAATATGTCTACCATAATAGAAACATCCACGGTAGTTTCATTGCCCTAAAAATCCTGTGTGTTCTCCTATTAATTCCTGCCTTCTCTTAACTCCTGGAAACCACTGATCTTTTGTGTCTCTGATTTTTTTTTTTTGTCTTTTTCAGAATATTATGTAGTTGAAATCATATAGTTTGTAGCCTTTGCAGATTGGCCCCTGTTATTTATTAATACGCACCCATGTCATTTCATGACTTGGAAGCTCATTTCTTTTTAGTGCTGAATGATATTCCATTTTCTGAATGCTCTACAGTTTATTTATCCATTCAACTACTGAAGATAAACTTAGTAGCTAGCCTGTTTTGGTGATTATAAATAAAGCTGCTGTAACATGTGCCCTTTGTGTGTGTGTGTGTGTGTGTGGACATAAGTTTTCAACTCCTTTGGTAAATATAAGGGAGCATGATTACAGGATTATATTAGTAAGTTTGGTTTTGTTAGAAACTTTCAATATACTTTCCAAAGTGTGTATCATTTTGCATTCCCACCAGCAATGAAAATTGTTGTTTTTCCACATCCTTATCAGCATCTGCCATTGTCCTGATGGATTTTGGCTATTCTAATTTGATATTCTGGATTTTGATATCTCACTGTTGTTTTGTTTTTCTGATCACATACGATATAGAGCATGTTTTCACATGTTTGTTTGCCATCTGTACATTTTCTTTGGTGTTTTTTCTTATTTTGGTGCTTTTGATAACAAAGTTGTTTATTTTCTTATTGTTGAGTTTTAAGAATTCTTAATATATTTTGGATTCCAGTCCTAATCAGGTATATTTTTTGCAAATGTTTTATTCTGTTCTGTGGCTTACCTTTTTGTTCTCTTCGTAGTGTCTTTCACATAGCAGAAGTTTTGAAATTTAATGAAATTCAGTTTATCAATTCTTTGTTTTATGGGTCACTCCTTTGGTATTATATCTGAAATATCACCAAATCCAAGGCCATATAGATTTTCTATAAACACTTTTATGTAACTATTAATATTTTTCTTTTAAAAATGTTTTTATTAGGACATTGCAGTTATGCATGCTAGTGGGGTTCATTTTTGTATATTCATAAATGTATGTAGCATAATTTGTTCATTTCAGTCCTCAGTACTTCCCTTTCCCTCCCCTTCCACCTCCCTCCTCTTATATTCTTCATTTATTCTATTGGTTTTCCTTCTGTTTTTCATTGTTTTTTAATTGGTGAATTAGAGTTATACATAGTAGAGTTCCTTACGATATATTCATATATGCATATAGCATTGTTTAATCAATTGCATTCCACATTTTCTCCCATTTCCCATCTCTCCTCCTTCCCCTTTGATCTCCTTTTTCTAGTCCACTGTTCTTCCTTCTAATTATCCAATCAATAAATGGGCAAATATACTAAAAAGACATTTCTTAAAAGAAGAAATACATTTGACCAAGAAATATATGAAAAATGTTCAACATCCTTAGCAATCAGGGGAATGTGCATCAAAACTACACTGAAATTTTATCTCAGTACAATTAGAATGGGAAATCATCAAGAATGAAAATAACAATAACTGCAAGGATGTGGGACAAAAGGCACACTCATGCAGTGTTGGTGGTACTGCAAATTATACTCTGGGAGCAGTATGGAGATTCCTCAAAAGACTAGGAATGGAACTGCTATGTGACCCAGCTGTCCTACTCTGTATCATTTATCCAAAAGAACTAAAATCAGTGTGCTACAGTGATATAAGAATACTAATGTTCATAGCAGTACAATTCACAATAGCCAAGTTATGGAGCCAGCCTAAGTGCTTGTCAACAGATGAACGGATAAAGAAAATGTGGTGTATAGACACAGTGGAGCTTTACTCAACCATAAAAAAGAATGAAATTATGTCATTTGCTGCTGAATGGATGGAACTAGAGAGCAATATGCTGACTGAAATAAGCCAGACTTAGAAAATCAAGGGTCAATTTTTTTTCTCATATGCAGAATATAGAAACAGGAACTATTAGTCATTTTCTTGTGAAATTCCACATGTACATTTGTTTTTAGTTTTGCTTAGTGTGTATATAAATGCCCATATATATAATTTATAGACATATATATGTATATATATGTCTTCATACAAACAATTTTAAAATTTTTTCATGAATATATTTTTTATTACTTCTGAATTTTGTAGCCAGGCAAATTAACAACTAGGTGGGTAAAAGAAATGCATTAATATATTGTTTTATGGCACAATATACTATCATGTAATGATTTCCAGGTTTATTCTTGTAATTAAGGAAAAAGCAAGGTTCACAATCATGTGTATAGTATGCTACTTTTTGTGATACAATAAGGTGTATGCATACATATGTATGTGTGTATGCGAGCATGTGTACATGTGTGTAGATGTATCCATAAATGGGTACTTATGCATAAATTCATACATATTTGCTTATTTTCCAAAAGGACATAAAGGAAAAGAAAAGCAATGAAAAGGATAAACCACAAATTAATTAAAATGGTTACCCGTAGGGAGAAGGAGTAAGTATGATAGACTTAGGATTGGAAGTAAGATTGTTTACCCGAATATGATCCTATTTTATAATTTTTATTTTGAAAACATGTAACTACTTCCCATAATGATAAATAGGATTAAAACTAAATACAGGAAATCCTAAAAATAACAAAAAGCTAAACAAATAAATTTAACTGTATAGCAAGTTGTTGACTTAGTTCCACACATTCTAAAGCATAGGGATACACCGTGTCTCACCTTTTCATTGCTGAGTCAAAATACCTGAGAAAAACAAATTAAAGAAGGAAAGAGTTATTTTGGTTCATGGTTTCAGAAGTTTCAGGTTATTACTGGCTGGCTTCCAGACAAAAACATTTAGTGGAGTAAAACTGTTCATCTCATGGCAGCTGGGAAGGTAGGAAGTTGGGAGGGAGGGAAGGAAGGAGAGAGAAAAGGGGTGGAGGGAGATACACAGATGCAGGGAAGAAGGGGCCAGAACAAAATATGCTCTTCTAGGAAATGCCCCCAGTGACCCACTATCTCCAACTAGATCCTACCTCCTACAGTTTCCACTACCTCCCAATAATGCCATCAGATTATGAATACCTCAATGGATTAATCAACTGATGAGGTCAGATCCCTCATGATAGAATTATTTCCTAGGAGTTCCACTTCTGAACTTCACTACATTAGGGGTCAAGCCTTCAATACATGAAACTTGAATGGACTTTTCAGATAGAAGCCATAACATTGTTATATAACCCTTGAGTTACATGTTAAGGTGAAAAAAGGGAACAAAGTTACAGTATTTGGTATTTTAGTAATATTTATATTTTTATTTTAAAGCTATGTCAGATTTCATAGTAAAGTAAATAAGTGGTCATGTTAAAATCTCCATGAAGCAAAATTTTTAGCATAAAGCAAATATGTGCACATATTATGTCACAGTCTGTTAAATTTATATATACATGTAATTAAATTGAAAAAAATCAGTAGAATGTGATATATATTTTTTCTTTTCTAAAAATATTTGCATCTTCTAGTTCAGTCCAGTGAAAAGAGGTAGAAATATGCAAAGCACTCTTGTGGTCACCATTCATAGGTCCAGTCTTTAAATACAGTTTTCCACTAAGATATGCCAGTCTTTTGGAAGAAATATATGACTCTAGTTCTGGAGTAGAATATATAAGACAGAAGGCTGGGATATCATTTCATAACAGAAAGCAGCAGTGTTAAGAAAGATATTGTGGTCATTTCCTAGGAACCAGTTTGAAGAGGCTATCATTGACCAGAGATGGGAGAATTTTAACAAGAAAAACAGACTTGTTAGGGATGAAAACATAAAATATGGTCAAAAGCTGCAAATCATAAGGACAAAAACAAAGCAATATAAGCAAAATACTGCATTAGTCACCTTTGAAGGGCTGGAAGATTTCATCATTGTTTTAAAATAAAAATAGTAGGATATTGCTTTGTCTTATTCTTCCTGCAAGAGCCTTATTTCAAAATAAGTAATTAATGAGAGAAATTTCTTGTTTGAAAAAGTCTGTAGTAAATGAAGAAAGAATAACTGAATTGGACTACCACAAGTTTAAAATTTTTATTAATTATAATACCTTGGGGATTAATGTCTTCAGGTAAAACATGATAGGGAGCCTTATTATACACCAATCCAGCTAACAAAACACAACCCCATCAATCAAACTTAAGGACAGAAAGACATCCAGTTATATGCCAACTGATATGATACAATAAGAAGTGTACTTTTAGAAAAATGGAACTGTTCAACACCACAGACTTTAACTACCAGTTTATATGATATATAGGAAATGCAAGGAACATACGAAATGGCACTTTAGGACTGCTATTAGCTAAATCTGGAATGCCATAAATTTAGGTAGATGATACATTTTCTTTAAGCGGTAATAGGCAGGAAATAAAAAGAATGAAAAATTGTTAGATCCAAAAATAGAAACAAAATATCAACCAAATGCAATATGTATACCTAGTTTGGATTCTGAATTGAAGAAATCAACACTGCAGAGCCATTGAAATAATTCGGGAAATTTAAAAAATGACTAAATTTTCGATGATATTAAGTGTTAATTTTTAATATGTGATGTTATTGTCTAACAAGTTTGAATATTTACCAGTGAAATCATGTATTATCTGGGATTGCTTTTAAATAATCCTCTGAGGGTTTAAAAGGAGAAGACTGTTGATGGTGGTGGGTATTTACCTTAGAATATGAGTATATAGGATTTACTGAAGTATTTTTTCATGTTTGAGTGCTTAAAATTTCTGTGATTACTTGTTTTTAATTAAAAACTAAGTTACTTTTATTTTTAAAACTAAAATGGAAGGCATTTCATGAATAAATCATCAACATAGGAACTTTCAGAATTTTAAACCTGAAAGCCTGAAGTGTATATTCCATATATACCTGCAAGAAAATTGCACAATTTATTTAGCAATGATGCTCTGTTTGATCTTGACCCAACACAGGCTTATCTTGAAGTTAGCATTCACAGGTTGATCTACACTCTAGAGAAACTATTGAGGTAAATCTAAAGCTATATATTCTCTCTTGTTTTTTGGTGTTCCCCCCACCCGCTACTGGAGTACTAGGGATCAAACCCAGGGCTTTGAGCATGCTGTACAAGTGCTCTACCACTGAGCTACATCCCTGGCCCTGCTGTGTGTTCTTTCCATCATGTCTGCTTCTCACCACATCCCAATATTTGTTTTGCAGGTACAGCAGGTACAGACTGTGCAGCAGGTACAACATGTCTATCCAGCTCAGGTGCAGTATGTGGAAGGAAGTGACACTGTCTATACCAATGGGGCAATGTAAGTTTGTATGTGGGCGTCTTTGTAATTTCCTCACTCAGAGAGAAATAGTTTACTTTCTAACACATTTCACTCTTTCCAAATTGTTTCCTTGTTTTCACAGTTATTTTTTTTTTTTTACTAGAACAAAGTTATTGAAATTAAACTGATGTTTAGAGCTTTCATCTGTTTATTAAGTATATATGTTAATTTTCTTCTCACTTAACCCTAATAGAATATTTAATTATTGAATTTTTAGAAATTATTGAATTTTTTATGCCCTTTAATGGTTTTCCCTAGGCTGAGAAAAACTTATATCTCTTGTTAATAATTTATATATTTTAATAATACTTTATGAAATCTGTGATATTTGTTTTATATATAAGTTGAATTTCTGTGGGTATGTATTTACCTGTAAATTAGTATGAAACTAGCATTAGAAGTTTTGTGAGTCTTTGTACATTTACTAAGTTAGATATTCTATATAAAGCTGCCTGTTACTCAGTAAATTTTATTTTCCTGTCTGTATCTGCCCACTAACTTATCTCCTTTGCATTAACAATAATGCAAATTAGCAAATTCATTAGATTTTCCTCTACTTTGGATTAAGAGTCAGAATGTTTCTATAAATAAAGGGGTTAAAAGTTATTAAAAGTCATCATGATGGTCTTCAAGTTGAGTTTTGATTACAACTTTTGGCTTTCTGGATTTACCTGAAAATGAATTCAATCTTTCATTGACTTTTCTGCTCCCTTCCCTTCAGACTTGGTATATGCCAGGATGATAACTCTGCTTTCTTTATTCTTACTGATCTACTCTTTCCTTGAGTGATTTCATTGATCTCCATGATGTTAACCTATAAGCTCTATGCCTGACATGAAGAGGTCAATTGTTGTTGCATATTATTATAACTAAAAACATAGAATCTTCATATAGCTATGCATTAGTTTTATTATTGTGGACAATGTACTTAAATGTTCTAAACTTTCTATTATTCATTTCATGGAAGTGGGAAGATAGTTTTCTCTTATTGAGTTATTTTGAGAATTTGAAGAAATATATTTAATGTGCTTAACACAGAGCCTGGGTACATAATAAATGATATATAACAGAAACAAAGCATTTCTTTGACCTCTCTCTTGTTTCTTACTACTTTTGGTAACTGAGTAGTAGTGTTCAGAAAGCCACTACTCCTGTCTTCACCGTCTACCTGTCCCTAATATAGTCAACTTTGTGCATTTTCCTCAATACTCTGCTTTCATTCGTCCATGTTTTTGGAGATTTTTTTTTTTTTTCTCCTGATGAAATAGCATTCTATGTATTCTTCGTTCTTTCCATCCCCTCTTACCTGAGGTGTGATTTTTACAGACTCCCACTACTTCCATTTTTGTGGCATGGACCTTCACTCTCCTCTGCAATAAGCTTATCATTCCACTATAAAGGACAGTACTATAAGGTGATTTGACCTCCAGCATTACACTGTGATGATTGCTTTTTTATGTTTCATGTACCAGGAAGAACTCTCTCTGAATGGGAACTTTTTATTTTGTTGTTCAATTTACATTTACTTAGGTAGTTGAAGCTTAAGAAAAAGTTGATAAATTTCTGTTACTCTGGTGAAATCAGTAACTCTTGGCATATATTAGACACACTGAATATTCTTACCTATAGGTGATGTAGGTCCAGGGCCTTTTGGAGTATGGTTTTGGAATTTCTATTATAACCCCAAACTACTGTTGATGTTCATACCAAATAAAAGAAATGCCTGCCAGTTGTAATTTTATCAGAGGAAATAAATGGCTTTCTGAACACTACTAGAGGCCACTCCTTTGTCAATTGCCATTTTTCCTTGTTTATGACATATAGTAATGATTATAGGGAAATATGAGAGTAGAAGTTTATAGATTTCACTTCTGTATGGTAGAAGGGGCAAGCGAAAAGGGCACTATCTGTCACAGTCATTCTTCCTTTTGTACTGGTCCAAAGCAGGGTAGAAAGATTAACTCTACCACTCATGAATGCATGACTTTGTGCTTTCCCTTTTTATATGCAAAATGGAGATAATTAGCTTTTGAAAAGTGCTTTATGTACCATCTGAGAAATAGTAAGCACTCAATAGACATTAATTACTGCTGTTCAGTTTTGTATTTTAGTTATTTGTTTATATTTTCTATTCGCCTTGTGATTATAAATTCTGAATATTGTCTTGTGCTTTTTAAAACTACCCCACCACTGACCTTAGAGTTCTCCATATGATAAGTAAATGTGAGTTGAATGAATTTATTCATTCACAAAACCTTAGAAAAACAGCATCTCTAAACTTGGTACTTTAAAATTATAGGAACCATTTAAGCACAGAAATGATTCAAAGTAAATATCTAGTGCCAGCATGTATTTCCTATGGTCCACTAGTTTGGTTGGTTAGATCATGACTAATGAGGGTCTAGGTCATGAGTTCATTTGTCACAAAGTCCAATTAGCTTTGATCTGGTCTTTGTGGGCCCACATTGCAAACTCAGCTGCAGCAATTATGTCACAAATCTGTACTCTTAGCCAAGAAGGAGAAGATGCATCTTTTTCAATCTTTTATTACTATGAATTATAAATTTTGAATAGAGGTGCAGTAGAATTGCTTTTATACTTAATAAGGAAATATCATTGTGCTGGCATTAGTTATATTCAAAATTTTAGTGACTAGAAGACTATGAATATTTTTTTCTCAAACATGACCAAATATAATTTCTTCTTTTTTCAGATTAAACTGTTCCAATTTTCTGTAATTTCGTAGTGCTGCCATTTGACTACGAAATTTTTATCTCTAATGCTCATTTTAGACTCTTTGTAATCCTTTTTTTATTTATTTTATTCTTTACTAATATACTTCTGTGTATATTAGTAAAGAATAGTGCCATGTTCTTCTATTCTATACCATTGAATTTATAAACAGCTAGTATTTAAACCCTGACTGGGATCACAGAGTCCCATTTCTATGTGATAATAAACACTGTTTGCTAGTGATACTCCCATAAGATAGAGACTCTGATCTTTATCATGAACTTTCAAGCACCCAGTATACAACCTGTTCATGCTTAGTCAGTACTGGTTCATTGATGCTCTTGTCACCAGCATTCTCACATTGTGTAGCCATAATGCATGGGGTCTCTCAAGAGGTGATGACAGCCCTCACAGATATGTGTCATTGCTTGTGAGAATATGTAGTCATTATAATTTGATGATACCACAGTGTTTACCTGGTTCTCACAGTGAATATTGACAATTGCTGCCAGTGTAACAGGCTTAACAGTATGAGTTCGAGTGAGCATATATTTCAATTGAACAATTCAGACTGCTTTACAGTGCTAGGTGTTAGAGTTGCATAGCTTTTTACTCAAGGGAGAAGGTTACTTAATTCCCTTTTGCTCCTGTTTATTTTATCCTTTGTTTATCTCCTTGCAATAGTTTTTCCCAGGAGATTTTTTCCAAAATGTAAATTATGGTCATCTGCATTTCTACAAATAATTATCATCTATAATCTCTTATTGCATAGAAAGAATGTTATGGTTAAACCTGCCAAGGAATATCACACACATAGAGTCTATTTCAATTAAAATCTCATAGTGTAGTTAAGAAATCAGTTTTAAATAAAATAATTTTTCTTCTTTCCCGCATGCCATTTATTGACTCATACTTCCCCTACTCATTCCTACATTGTGCTAGTCAAAGTGGAAATAATGATATCATGCAGTATCGTGGCCAAATTCAGAAATCTTTATTTCATAAGAATTTTTCTGTATTAGCCACTCTCTGAAGCTTGTCTTACTATTTAGAGACGATCAATGTAAAGTATAAAACTGTTCATCGTATTAGTATCTGTTGTAATAAGGATTGGCCAGCCTTCTCACAGTCTTCCCTTGAGATTATAGATTTGTCATCAATTCTAGTACAAAATTTCCCAAACCATGATCACAGAATTTTAGTCCCATAAAAGAGTCTGTGGTTAGAGAAGCAGTGCCACACTGAGACTACCTTCCTCTTGAGGACCCTCAATTCCTGTTAGACTTTAAAAAGCTCTGAGAAGTCCTATAGAAAAGAAACCCAGTATTCGAAAATATGAACTTTTTATCTGAATAGTATCTATAATATCCCTCAGGCCACCGGAGATGGTACACTAATTATTGACATTGGTAGCTTATTCAGAATCTGTAAGTATTGTGAACTGGACTCTAATTTTTTAGAGTCATCTTTTGAAAATCATGTAGTTAGCACATTTTCAGAAGGTATCCTGCCTCTTCAAGCTCTTTTTACCCTCTTGAAGCAAAATAGTAAGTTTCAGTATTTGCAGAAGAAGTTGCACTATTTTATAATATTTCAAATGCTCTCTGATTAGAAGTGGTTGTATGGAATTTCTGCAGTTGAGATAGAGAGGATGCTTTCTTCACTTGTGCTTCTACTAATATACATTCTGATAGGTATAAGAGAAGTGGATTGTGAATCCAATGCCATTTAGATTCCAGTAGGCATATGGCTGGTTACATAGGAAGCCCTCTTGGAGACAGCACTGTCCTTCAGTAGAGAAGAACATGTAGTTAGGGAAAGACCTATTTTAATGATCACATAAATATTCCCATCACTCCAAAGATGGAAGACATTCAAATATCTTAGAATTGACATAGTTGTGGAAATCATTTATTCTAGTTCTTCCACTTTACAGATGAGTAAGCTGAGTCCCAGAGAGGTGAAATATAATCTCACCTTTAGAATTTGTCTTTTCTGACCTTCAAAACATGATCCTTTCCATCGATTGCAAATACTGGTCTTTTGATTCTAAGTTACTTTGGACTTAGTGGTACAAGGACTGGTCAGCTAAAAATACTTTTAGTAAATATTGTATGCAATATAATATTATTTTATCTGATGTGGATAAATAATTAAACTTCTGAATTTTTAAGTGGCTAATTATAAAGACTAAAGGATCTGTTGTTATCAATCTCTTTTCATGTTTCTTTAAAAATCCCATTGTA